ACGTGAACTAGGGGGACAAGGTGTGCCGTATGCACTCCCCTCGCAAGTTACAGGGCCGCAGCTCACTTGCCTTCGGGGGGACCGACGAGACCACCGACCACCTTGAGAACAAGGTGTGCCGTATCCATTCCCCGCGCAAGCCGCAGTACCGCAACTCACTTACCTTCGGGGGGACCGACGAGACCACCCCGGTCCCTACCGGACTGAAGGCTCGACAAGACCAAATCGCATGCGTCATGTCTCGCGTAGAGCATGCCAATGTTGCAGCAAGCAAGCGGTCATAACCTGAGATTGTTTGTGAGTGAAGTTGGAAAAAAACACTTCTCGACATGTGTTGTGTTCAGCTGTTTCTGTCAAGTTTGTCACAGGCAACAAATGTCAGTAGCAAGAGATGTGTTCACAGGCTTGAGATGTCAGTAAACCGCACAAGCACACTGAAGATGTGTTCTTCTTTCAATCCGACATGCTTGCTGTGAAGTGCGTGAAACCGACTCCTGTTGACATAGATGCACTCGGTCGCTTCAAACATGTATGCAACTGAGCCTTCCTGTTATCGATATGTGCATTCTTTCTTGGGGTCAAAAACGGCGTCGTCGACACCTACGCATCTGCACTCAAGGACCGCACCACAAGTGTGTGTGTGTGTGTGTGCTTTTCAAGTGTATGACATGAATCACGATCTGTGCACCTCTACTTCCACAGGCAGAGTGCAATGCTTTAAAAATTCAAACGACACCGACATCAAGAAACCTCTCAATCGAACACCGCGTGATCTGCACCCGGCCTTCTTTCAAATGCACATTCATTCAGCACCTGCTAGTACCTTACGAGCACGGCGACCGTGGACGCGCCGAACGCCGTAAAAAACCTGCCTAGCTGCCCGACGGTCCAGCTTGAACAAGACAAGACGTCAAAACCGACACCTTAGACTCAACAGCCGCCCCCAACTGTACAAGCAAGCAAGAAGAATCAAGAAGAGCTGCCCAAGTTTAGAGCCTGGAGGACAAAGCCTTGGGGCCCCAAGCACGTGAACTACGGGGACAAGGTGTGCGTATGCACTCCCCTCGCAAGTTACAGCGCCGCAGCTCACTTGGCTTGGGGGGGGACCGACGAGACCACCGACCACCTTGAGAACAAGGTGTGCCGTATCCATTCCCCGCGCAAGCCGCAGTACCGCAACTCACTTACCTTCGGAGGGACCGACGAGACCCCAGTCCCTACAGGACTGAAGGCTCAACAAGACCAAACCGCACATGTCATGTCTCACGTAGAGCATGCCACTGTTGCAGCAAGCAAGCGGTCATAACCTTTCATTGTTCATGATTGTTCGAAAGTGTTGTTGGGCAACCATCTAGACATGCTGGTGGGCAGCTATGACTGCACAATAGAAACCAGCTGTTTGCGAAAGGGAAACAAAATCACAATCACGAATTATGCCTTCGCTTTTTCTTTTCCTACAGTCCTACAGCATCATCGTCGTCTTAGCACGAGGTTTCCGGCCAGTCGGAACTCATCTAAACAAGCCTGCAGCCTCAAGTCAAGCACAGACATGTCCAGATGTGGGACAGTGCCAAGCTGAGCATCCCAGATAGTGTCCGCCTGCTGCCATGTCCGATTTCGATCGTGCAATGCTCTTGGTTGCTCGGGAGGTCCGTGCTGACGATGCAGCCATCTTCCTGAGCGGTACAAGACCTAAGCGGGCATGGCTTCCACTCGCACAGGATGGCTGAAGTGCCTGACCACACAACCGAACCACTCCATGCAGGACACCTCAGGCACGAACCCGGCGCTTATCTGCAATGCCAACGAATTCAATTTGCCTGCAGCCCACATGGAAGCTGACAGCACGTGCTACCCGACGCATGTTGCCGCAGATTCCTTCGCCTCAGTCTCTCAGTTCACGAACCGATGCGATTCGACCCGAACCAGGCTTTGCATGTGCACGCACGCTACCAGTGTAGTTGTGGGCCGAAAAGCATGCAGTCCTCCAGGCAAGGACATCCCGGAATCAGGCCCAGAGTGTTTGAAGCTAGCCAAGTCCACCAGTCCCACTACACCCTAAACTCTAAACCCTAAACCCTAAACCGTGTTGGAGCTGCAGGTGGGAAATCCAGAATGTCATAATGTGCTTTTCTAAGATCACGCCCGGCGGGACTTCCGAACTTCCACCCGCAGACCTGCCTCGTGCGACGCAGGCCATAGAGATGCTCAGCAGATACCAAAGCGCCATGTTCCTGCCACGTCGGATTGCCAACTAGCAAGAAGCGGCGCACAGCGTCAAGCCAAGGCAAGCTTCGAATCCCAACATCTTCGCGTATCCCCACCCCCGTCCTTGACCCGTCGCGCCCTGTGTTGCAACGGCAACTCGTGGCTGCAATCTGCCAGTTGGAGCCCACTGGTTGCGGCAACAATCACATCAACTCGGTGCACTTCCAACTCAAGAAAGTTCAGACCACATTTCCAGCATTCCTCCTCAGAGGCTTAGGTATTTGCACTCTCCACGACTTGTTTGAGACAGGAATGGTTGCAAACCTGAAGTCCCCTCCACATGCAAACAGCCGGAGGGTGGGTTGGGGGCTTTGAACAAGCTGGATGCTCTGTGAGCCCAAAGGCGAATCTCAGGGGCCTGGAAGGACTGGGGTGAAGCCGTGACGAAGCAATGTCCAAATCCGCCTCGTCAGGTCCAAACGTTTGGAGACACCCTGTTTTTGCGTTCGTTTGCCACCCCCTTGTCCGGCTCCCTTCATTTTACCAGGCCCCCCCCCCCCCCCCCCCCCCCCCCGCCCCCCCCCCCCCCCCCCCTTGCCCCCGTTTTCCTCCCGAAGCAAAAAGATGGCGTTTTTCTGCACTTGGGTATCAACAACCGTGTAAAGGTTGGCGTTGAGAGGTCCCCCTAGCATGTATACAACATCGACTGCCCCCTCGCCCTGCCGCTAAAGAGCCGAGGCGGGCGGCGTAGCGTTAAAATTACATCTAAGTTTACTTCATTGATGTTCCGCATTGGATCAGACAACACCTGGAGGACGTATCACCAAGATCGCCATCACCAACATTCACGCGTGTTCCAAGCACTCGAACCACGTCGCCATCACCCACAACTCATGATGGCACCTAGTGATCATACTGCGGGGCAGAGAGAGCTGCGCGGCAGGGAGAGCTCGAAACAAAAAAGAACAGTGTGGCAATTGACTGACAAGGTCGACACATCACGGCTACAAACTACCGACTCTTCCTTGAGTGTTGCTGTTTCGCTGTGTGAAATTTCGCACTTCAGAAGGTTGTCTTTGGGGTTTTAGGGCTTCGGGTTTTGCGTGAGATACTGTAGCCAGCCGACTTCACTTCTCATCAGGACAACACTAACAGAGCTCTGGGCCCTCCGTTCAACTGGTAAGTCAGGAAATAACTAGCCAAAGCATATCGGTTTCACGCGCATTCGGTCCAATGCCAGGCAAGCTGCAGGAAGCAGTTGCTTGCTTCTGCTCGTGCTACCGGCCTGAACATTCCCCGACACAAACTTGGGCCGTGTTCAACAAAGGGACAACAACGACGTTGCTGTGAAGGTGACGTCTCACACGCTTGATGTTAGGTGGCAGTGGCAGAAGCGATTCCCCACGGGTGTCCTGCCACATCACGAACAAACACTCGCATCCACAACAGCAGAACGTCCACGTGAACTCACAGATCCGGCTTTCAACTGCGGTGACGAAAGTGTATGCTATGTGGACAGTAGAAACGGATCGACGAAACGCAGAAGTGCATCAGTGACATAGCTTCCTGCGGCCCTTATGATCACACGCGATCCCGCTTCTGAGCACCAGGCTCAATCGCTCCGATCGCGAATCACTTCTTGACCGCACATGCAGATCCGGTGCTGAAGGCAGTGGGCCAAAGACGTTCAGCTGTCAGTATCCTGCTCTGACAGCTAACATGCTCCAAGCTTTCTTGTTGAGATCTCCATCTCCTTGCTTGAAGTTCTATAAATAGGTATGTATCTTCTGTCACCACACTGCGGCACTGGCCTCATCACCTTAGCAGTTCGAGCTCCTGCGAGGTTGGCCCTTCAAACCTGAGAGACGTTTCCTGTGCTTGAAGGCGCTCTAGCCTCCTTTGCCTGTTCGCTTCCAGTCAGCTACCAGACCTGCAAGCGATCCTCTGCAAGTGCCTGTGAAAGACACTCGAGACCATGCTGTGCTTCTTTCGGGCGGGGCAATGACTGGAGTCTGAAGCTTCGGACTTCATCTTCTCATGGCTTTGGCTGTGGGTTGCGCTCTAAAGCAGCACGGATTCAACAGGAGGCTCTGGCATTCCAGGCAAGCTGTCCTCCCGAAAAAGCACAGAAAATCTATATAAGCATTGGCTTGAAACCATCGAGCCGGCGATCACTGCAATATTGAGTCGCTTAGGTGTGCACCTTGAAAGCTTGGTGCAAACCGGGCTCTGTCAAAGTAAGACATGTGGCTCCTGGTCTGTGGCTTGGCCAGCACGCCAGGGGTTGCCAATTGATTCCTGGAATGACAGCTTGCCTGCCGTGCTAGCTTTGCTCCAGTCTCCGGACCATGTGCGATTTTGGAGTCTACCCTGGCAAATAATGAGAAATACAGTAATGAGGACACTCTTTATGGGGTCTCGATGAATCTTCCTTATTTGTCGAAACTCCTGATGGTCTCTCAACCAAGATCCCACGCGTCCTAAACCCTCAGCGAAGTTGGCCAAATTAGGCCAACTCGTCATGGGCGAACAGGCCTGCTGTGAAACTATGCCCGAGCATGGCATTACAAGACTCCATGAAGTGGGCCTTGTCCTCAGGGTCAAGGCTGGGGTCGGGAGGAGGGACGACCTCCTCACTTCTTCAGTGTGCCACCATAGATTGAAGTCCTAAGCCATTCTCCTAGGCACACGTGCCCCTAGGCGCGCTTCAAGAAAATGCTTTTCAAACCGCGAACAATCCCTGCTCGGGCTTCGGAGCCGGGCAAACCCAGCAGAGCTCTAGGTCGATCTCGTCACTCAAGGGGAGCGTCAGCACCGCTTTCCTCCAAAACGCCAGCAGTTTGGTGCTCCCCCAGATGGCTGAAGCCCAGAACCCAAAACGCTCAAGTCCTTGACCTGAGTCGTCACCCCAAAATGCGACGAGCGACGAGGAAAAGCAACCACTCTTGACCCAACCCCGAAGAACCAAAAGCCCAACGACGCAACGAATCCGATACACGACTTCCTTGACCCATACCTTTGCAACAAACCCTGTTAGCTCAAGTTCCTGAACTCTGTTTCACAAGGTACTGGACTGCTGCCCTCGCTGTTCCTGAACCCTGTCACCTCAAAGCTTCATACGATTTGTGTGTGGGTGTTTGAGTGTGTGTGTGTGTGTGCGTGTGTGGCTATGTGTTTGTTTGCTGGCGTGCTTGGGTGTCTCTTCGTCTGCGTCGCGACATCCCTCAGCCCCCAAACCCAGCGAAAACGTGAGACTCACCTCGCCCACGCGAACAGTGAGCCCACGCAGTCGTGTTCCCGCCATGTCCCTCGAAACCCAACTCAAGCGTGAGACTCACCTCGCCCACGCGAAAGTGAGCCCGCACCGTTCTGTTCTCGCCATGTCCCTCGAAATCCAATTCAAGCGTGAGACTCACCTCGCCCACGCGAAAAGTGAGCCGCCCACCCCTCCCCCGCCCCATCCCAGCCCACCCTGCCGTCCGGTGAGTTGCTGCTCACCAAAAGGTCGTTTAACAATTTTCAACAAGCGTGTATCATCCCTCCTGAAGATGCGGCTGGTTCTGCAGGCTGGTACCTCGGGCCATCGCACGACAAGGATTGTTGTGTGGTGCTGTGGAAAGAACAGCTGTGATTCTGGCGGGTTGCCTGAGGGGCACTTGGAGCTGTACCTGCATAGCCTTCTTCCGTACAACCTTTGAAGCCCGTGACGGGTATTCCGCCACCGTGTTCAGGATCGGCTGGCCCCTGTCATGGTAACCACGGCATGAGAGCAAGCCACACGAAAAGAAGCGCTATCGATCTGGCGCATGTGGAAGCTTCAGCTAGAGACCAGAATCCCGGTGCGGGCTGGGAAAGGGCATGGAAAGGATTTCACAGCGCCTGTGGCGACGCGTATGATTCCAGGGAGTCGCCTCACGGATCGGGCAAAGTTCGGGAGCGTTAAGATCTACTTCTGCTCGTGAAGTGCAGTGCCGGCCTGCTTGCGGCCCAGCAACACAGGCCTTTCCTTGGGTTCAATACAGAGACTTGACCTTGTACATCTTGTACGCAAACATGCTCTCCATGTTGCTCGATCGCAGCCGGACTGAGATAATGTCTTTCCAGCTCATGGCATGCAAACAGCCTGTCCCAGCGCAAATGACCTGGCCTGTATGTCTGTGTCCGTGTTTGTCTGTGTGCGTTGCGTGGATGTGTGGGTGTGTGCGGCTGTGTGTGCATGTGTGCGCGAGTGTGTTTGCTTGTCTTTTCGTCTGTTTGTCTGTGTTTCAGCCTCGAAGCCCCGGTTAAAAAACGTGAGACTCCCCTCGCCCATCGCGAAAAGTGCGCTCACGCTGTGGTGTTCTCGCCATGTCCCTCGAAACCCAGAGCAAACGTGAGACTCACCTCGCCCACGCGAACAGTGAGCCTATGCAGTCGTGTTCCCTCCATGTCCCTCGAAACCCAACTCAAGCGTGAGACTCACCTCGCCCACGCGAAAGTGAGCCCGCACCGTTCTGTTCTCGCCATGTCCCTCGAAATCCAATTCAAGCGTGAGACCACCCCTCCCCCGCCCCATCCCAGCCCACCCTGCCGTCCGGTGAGTTGCTGCTCACCAAAAGGTCGTTTAACAATTTTCAACAAGCGTGTATCATCCCTCCTGAAGATGCGGCTGGTTCTGCAGGCTGGTACCTCGGGCCATCGCACGACAAGGATTGTTGTGTGGTGCTGTGGAAAGAACAGCTGTGATTCTGGCGGCGGCGAGGACACCCTGATCCTGGACAAGTTCTCGGGTTGCCTGAGGGGCACTTGGAGCTGTACCTGCATAGCCTTCTTCCGTACAACCTTTGAAGCTCGTGACGGGTATTCCGCCACCGTGTTCAGGATCGGCTGGCCCCTGTCATGGTAACCACGGCATGAGAGCAAGCCACACGAAAAGAAGCGCTATCCCTCTCTGGCGCATGTGGAAGCTTCAGCTAGAGACCAGAATCCCGGCGCGGGTTGGGAAAGGGCATGGAAAGGATTTCACAGCGCCTGTGGCGACGCGTATGATTCCAGGGAGTCGCCTCACGGATCGGGCAAAGTTCGGGAGCGTTAAGATCTACTTCTGCTCGTGAAGTGCAGTGCCGGCCTGCTTGCGGCCCAGCAACACAGGCCTTTCCTTGGGTTCAATACAGAGACTTGACCTTGTACATCTTGTACGCAAACATGCTCTCCATGTTGCTCGATCGCAGCCGGACTGAGATAATGTCTTTCCAGCTCATGGCATGCAAACAGCCTGTCCCAGCGCAAATGACCTGGCCTGTATGTCTGTGTCCGTGTTTGTCTGTGTGCGTTGCGTGGATGTGTGGGTGTGTGCGGCTGTGTGTGCATGTGTGCGCGAGTGTGTTTGCTTGTCTTTTCGTCTGTTTGTCTGTGTTTCAGCCTCGAAGCCCCGGTTAAAAAACGTGAGACTCCCCTCGCCCATCGCGAAAAGTGCGCTCACGCTGTGGTGTTCTCGCCATGTCCCTCGAAACCCAGAGCAAACGTGAGACTCACCTCGCCCACGCGAACAGTGAGCCTATGCAGTCGTGTTCCCTCCATGTCCCTCGAAACCCAACTCAAGCGTGAGACTCACCTCGCCCACGCGAAAGTGAGCCCGCACCGTTCTGTTCTCGCCATGTCCCTCGAAATCCAATTCAAGCGTGAGACCACCCCTCCCCCGCCCCATCCCAGCCCACCCTGCCGTCCGGTGAGTTGCTGCTCACCAAAAGGTCGTTTAACAATTTTCAACAAGCGTGTATCATCCCTCCTGAAGATGCGGCTGGTTCTGCAGGCTGGTACCTCGGGCCATCGCACGACAAGGATTGTTGTGTGGTGCTGTGGAAAGAACAGCTGTGATTCTGGCGGCGGCGAGGACACCCTGATCCTGGACAAGTTCTCGAGTTGCCAGAGCAAATCTGTTTGCGCTTGGAGCTGTTCCTACCTAGCCGTCATACGAACACCCTTCGAAGCCCGTGGCGAGGATCCTACTAATCGTTGCCCCCTGTCATGGCAATCAGGGCATGGCGCAAATCAGACGAAAGAAGCGCTATCCCTCCATGACGCATGCGGAAGTCCAAGGACAGCTTGCAAACATGCCAGTTCTGCGAGTTCTGCGCAGTCGTAGACACCTTCGCACATGGGACCGTTTCAAGGTCTTGCATGCAAGCTCTGGGGTTGCCAAGTTGATGTAGGAGTAGAGGTCACAGTTACGGCTCAGCAGGCAAATCTGCCTCAAAGTTCGGTGGGTGTTGCCACTTCGGATTGAGGTGCCTACTACGACAACCCGGCGGTTCACCAACAAGATTCAACGATGACGACGCGGACAATCATGATGACGACGAGAATGATGGTGATGATGACCCTGGCCATGGTCGTGGTGATGGTGGCGGACGTGGCATGGCACCAAGATCCACACTTGCCAATCTAAAGGGCTCAGTGTTACGAATCGGAATCGCCCTTAAATGCACCACAGGTGCACCTGCTCATCTTCGTCGCAGTCACAGCCGCAAACGGCACCCATTTTCAGATTCCGTTTGTCCAGAGCTTACGATTACAAGCCTACCATTACAAGCCTACCAACTGATAAGATCGCCATGGAGTCCTGGCTCGGCCTAGCCCAGCTGCGATCAACATCCCATGCTTGAAGCAGAATGACAGTACAAGGGACGATAAAGGATATCGATGCTGGTCTAAAGGCCATGAAGCTTGAATCGGCAGAGAAGAAGGCTGCGCGCATGAGGGTCTCCCTGAGGGCGTTCGAACAGTCGACCACCGGCCCTGCCCACATACCGTACCCCTGCAACTGTGAACGTCCGGTAGGGCCAAAAAAAATAGTAATACTTATAGCAAGCAGACTGGACTGCATAGTCCACGGAAAGACGGAAAGACCCTTTATCACACTGAGTGGACATTGCATGAAGGCTGAGTGCCATGTACCACATCAACTCGCAAACCCCAGCAGCCAGTCACATTCAACCACGGCATTCTTTTGCGCAATCGCCGCCGCTCGCTTAGACGGACACTCTTGCACAGCAGCTCTCAGGCGAAACCAGAACAGCTCTCGTGGTGGTCCATGTCGACCTGCATTACAGAAAGCTTCTGCTGCACAATCAATCGGCAATATGCGGACACTGCGGAGCCTCGATGCCAGCTGTGGCGGGCAACTTGCTTCCGCACAGCTGCTCTCCACTCCACCTGAGCCAGTATGGCCCGTGCCAGCTGCCGTAGAAGCACCCATCAGGCAAGACCGATGCATGCTGATACGTGAGACTCACCATGAGGACGCGCTGCCCGACCAGCTGGGCCGAGAAACACGAGACGGTGTCTGGGCAACTTCGCAAACCACCGCACTGCACGCGGCCTCCGTCCATTTGGCACATAAAAGCACGCGCCAGGGCAGTGAGCAGGAGCGGCATTTTGGAAGAGCAGCATCATGACACATCCCTCATATAACCTTTGCGGATAGTTTTTGATGCCGGACACTGTCGACTCCACCTGTGATGCTTGTCATTCTGTCCGGAGCTTCCGAGGCAGCTTCTGCGCGAAACTCTTGAAAATTTTCCTTGCAATTTGCAAGGCCTACCATGCAAAGATCTACGAATTCAGGGGTGGACGTTGGCGTTACAAACTTACAGTATCTTTGACATTTGCAGTCTGTGCCATACAAAAATACAAAACTCAAGGGTGGACGTTGGCGTTACAAACTTACAGTGTCTTTGACATTTGCAGTCTCTGCCATACAAAAATACAAAACTCAAGGGTGGACGTTGGCGTTACAACATTTGCTTACAGGGTGTTGGCGTTTTACAGACATTTGCATTCTCTGCCATACAAAAATACAAAACTCAAGGGCGGACGTTGGCGTTACAAACTTACAGTGTCTTTGACATTTGCAGTCTCTGCCATACAAAAAAACAAAACTCAAGGGTGGACGATGGCGTTACAAACTTACAGTGTCTGTGACATTTGCAGTCTCTGCCATACAAAAATACAAAACTCACGGGTGGGCGTTGGCGTTACAAACTTACAGTGTCTTTGACATTTGCAGTCTCTGCCACACAAAAATACAAAACTCAAGGGTGGACGTTGGCGTTACAAACTTACAGTGTCTTTGACATTTGTGGTCTCTGCCATACAAAAATACAAAACCCAAGGGTGGACGTGGGCGTTACAAACTTACAGTGTCTTTGACATTTGCAGTCTCTGCCATACAAAAATACAAAACTCAAGGGTGGACGTTGGCGTTACAAACTTACAGTGTCTTTGACATTTGCAGTCTCTGCCATACAAAAATACAAAACTCAAGGGTGGACGTTGGCGTTACAAACTTGCAGTGTCTTTGACATTTGCATTCTCTGCCATACAAAAATACAAAACTCAAGGGTGGACGTTGGCGTTACAAACTTACAGTGTCTTTGACATTTGCAGTCTCTGCCATACAAACATACAGAACTCAAGGGTGGACGTTGGCGTTACAAACTTATAGTGTCTTTGACATTTGCAGTCTCTGCCATACAAACATACAAAACTCAAGGGTGGACGTTGGCGTTACAAACTTACAGTGTCTTTGACATTTGCAGTCTCTGCCATACAACAATACAAAACTCAAGGGTGGACGTTGGCGTTACAAACTTACAGTGTCTTTGAGATTTGCAGTCTCTGCCATACAAAAATACAAAACTCAAGGGTGGACGTTGGCGTTACAAACTTACAGTGTCTTTGACATTTGCAGTCTCTGCCATACCAAAATACAAAACCCAAGGGTGGACGTTGGCGTTACAAACTTACAGTGTCTTTGACATTTGCAGTCTCTGCCATACAAAAATACAAAACTCAAGGGTGGACGTTGGCGTTACAAACTTACAGTGTCTTTGACATTTGCAGTCTCTGCCATATACAAATACAAAAATACAAAACTCAAGGGTGGACGTTGGCGTTACAAACTTACAGTGTCTTTGACATTTGCAGTCTCTGCCATACAAAAATACAAAACTCAAGGGTGGACGTTGGCGTTACAAACTTACAGTGTCTTTGACATTTGCAGTCTCTGCCATACAAAAATACAAAACTCAAGGGTGGACGTTGGCGTTACAAACTACAGTGTCTTTGACATTTGCAGTCTCTGCATACAAAAAACAAATCAAGGTTGACGTTGGCGTTAAAAAACTTACAGTGCATTTGCGTCTCTGCCATACAAAAATGACGTTGGCGTTACAAACCAAACAAAATTGGAAGTGGCGTTACAACTTACAGTGTCTTTGACATTGTGGCCAAAACTCAAGGGTGGACGTGGGCGTTACAAACTTACAGTGTCTTTGACATTTGTGGTCTCTGCCATACAAAAATACAAAACCCAAGGGTGGACGTTGGCGTTACAAACTTACAGTGTCTTTGACATTTGCAGTCTCTGCCATACAAAAATACAAAACTCAAGGGTGGACGTTGGCGTTACAAACTTACAGTGTCTTTGACATTTGCAGTCTCTGCCATACAAAAATACAAAACTCAAGGGTGGACGTTGGCGTTACAAACTTGCAGTGTCTTTGACATTTGCATTCTCTGCCATACAAAAATACAAAACTCAAGGGTGGACGTTGGCGTTACAAACTTACAGTGTCTTTGACATTTGCAGTCTCTGCCATACAATACAAAACTCAAGGGTGGACCTTGGCGTCACAAACTTACAGTGTTTTGGACATTTGCAGTCGCTGCCATGCGGAAATACAAAACTCAAGGGTGGACGTTGGCGTTACAAACTTACAGTGTCTTTGACATTTGCAGTCTCTGCCATACCAAAAATACAAAACCCAAGGGTGGACGTTGGCGTTACAAACTTACAGTGTCTTTGACATTTGCAGTCTCTGCCATACAAACATACAAAACTCAAGGGTGGAGGCGTTACAAACTTACAGTGTCTTTGACATTTGCAGTCTCTGCCATACAAAAATACAAAACTCAAGGGTGGACGTTGGCGTTACAAGCTTACAGTGTCTTTGACATTTGCAGTCTTTGCCATACAACAATACAAAACTCAAGGGTGGACGTTGGCGTTACAAACTTACAGTGTCTTTGACATTTGTAGTCTCTGCCATACAAATATCCAAAACTCAAGGGTGGACGTTGGCGTTACAAACTTACAGTGTCTTTGACATTTGCAGTCTCTGCCATACAACAATACAAAACTCAAGGGTGGACGCTGGCGTTACAAGCTTACAGTGTCTTTGACATTTGCAGTCTCCGCCATACAAAAACCCCAAGGGTGGACGTTGGCGTTACAAACTTACAGTGTCTTTGACATTTGCAGTCTCTGCCATACAAAAATACAAAACTCAAGGGTGGACGTTGGCGTTACAAACTTACAGTGTCTTTGACATTTGCAGTCTCTGCCATACAAAAATACAAAACTCAAGGTGGACGTTGGCGTTACAAACTTACAGTGTCTTTGACATTTGCAGTCTCTGCCATACAAAAATACAAAACTCAAGGGTGGACGTTGGCGTCACAAACTTACAGTGTCTTTGACATTTGCAGTCTTTGCCATACAACAATACAAAACTCAAGGGTGGACGTTGGCGTTACAAACTTACAGTGTCTTTGACATTTGCAGTCTCTGCCATACAAAAATACAAAACTCAAGGGTGGACGTTGGCTTTACAAACTTACAGTGTCTTTGACATTTGCAGTCTGTGCCATGCAAAAATACAAAACCCAAGTGTGGACGTTGGCGTTACAAACTTACAGTGTCTTTGACATTTGCAGTCTCTGCCATACAAAAATACAAAACTCAAGGGTGGACGTTGGCGTTACAAACTTATAGTGTCTTTGACATTTGCAGTCTCTGCCATACAAAAATACAAAACTCAAGGGTGGACGTTGGCGTTACAAACTTACAGTGTCTTTGACATTTGCAGTCTCTGCCATACAAAAATACAAAACTCAAGGGTGGACCTTGGCGTTACAAACTTACAGTGTCTTTGACATTTGCAGTCTCTGCCATACAACAATCCAAAACCCAAGGGTGGACGTTGGCGTTACAAACTTACAGTGTCTTTGACATTTGCAACTCAAGGGTGGACGTTGGCGTTACAAACTTACAGTGTCTTTGACATTTGCAGTCTCTGCCATACAAAAATACAAAACTCAAGGGTGGACGTGGGCGTTACAAACTTACAGTGTCTTTGACATTTGCAATCTCTGCAATACAAACATACAAAACTCAAGGGTGGACGTTGGCGTTACAAACTCAGTGTCGTTTGACATTTGCAGAGTCTCTGCCATACAAAAAATACAAACCTCAAGGGTGGACGTTGGCGTTTACAAACTTACAAGTGTCTTTGACATTGCAGTCTCTGCCATACACAATACAACCTCAAGGGTGTTGACGATGGCCGTTACACACGTACATTGTCTTTGAGATTTTGGCATTCTCTGCCATACAAAATGCAAAACCCAAGTGTGGACGTTGGCGTTACACCTAGCGTGTCCTTTGACTTGCCGAGTCTCGCCATCCAACATACAAACCTCAAAGGTGGACGTTGGCTTTACAAACTTGCAGTGGCCTTTGACATTTGCAAGTCCCTCTCCGCCATACAACATACACAAACTAAGGGTGGACTTTGGCGTTACCAACTACAGTGTCCTTTGACATTTGCATCCCTCTGCCATACAAAAAATATAAACCTACGGTGGAACGTTGGCGTTTTACAACTTACAGTGTCTTTGACATTTGCAGTCTCTGCGATACAAAAATACAAAACTCAAGGGTGGACGTTGGCGTTACAAACTTACAGTGTCTTTGACATTTGCAGTCTCTGCCATGCAAAAATACAAAACTCAAGGGTGGACGTGGGCGTTACAAACTTACAGTGTCTTTGACATTTGTGGTCTCTGCCATACAAAAATACAAAACCCAAGGGTGGACGTGGGCGTTACAAACTTACAGTGTCTTTGACATTTGCAGTCTCTGCCATACAAAAATACAAAACTCAAGGGTGGACGTTGGCGTTACAAACTTACAGTGTCTTTGACATTTGCAGTCTCTGCCATACAAAAATACAAAACTCAAGGGTGGACGTTGGCGTTACAAACTTGCAGTGTCTTTGACATTTGCATTCTCTGCCATACAAAAATACAAAACTCAAGGGTGGACGTTGGCGTTACAAACTTACAGTGTCTTTGACATTTGCAGTCTCTGCCATACAATACAAAACTCAAGGGTGGACCTTGGCGTCACAAACTTACAGTGTTTTGGACATTTGCAGTCGCTGCCATGCGGAAATACAAAACTCAAGGGTGGACGTTGGCGTTACAAACTTACAGTGTCTTTGACATTTGCAGTCTCTGCCATACCAAAAATACAAAACCCAAGGGTGGACGTTGGCGTTACAAACTTACAGTGTCTTTGACATTTGCAGTC